GGAATAAAGGCCCCGATTTTTGTAGCGAATCGATGCGTTTTTGTAAGAAAAATATCCATATTCAAAACGTAATATTTAATCTATTAATCTAGCTTGCACCAACAGTTGTACATGGAAGCACGGATGACATAAGATGCCGGAGTTGCGCATGCGTCTCGTGAAATCGTGAAAACCAACGTTTGTTAACAGGAGCAAAGGAAGCAACGTTTCCTTACTTTAGCAAAGGAAAACCAGTCTCCTCTAGGCTTATATCGAAATCCTCCGACATTCTTCTTTACAAATCCTCGTTTTGTACTTCTAATTCGTGACAGTTGTTTTGTTTTGATCTTTCCCCTGCACTTCCGTTATCGTCACTTCTGAGCGGCGCATGCGCAAAGCCGACGTCTTATGTCATCCGCCCGGAGCTGCTTCCGTGTACAACAGTGAGCACAAGCTAGATTAAATAAAATAAATTATTACGTTTTAAATATGGTTATTTTTCTTACAAAAACGCATTGATTTGCTACAGGAGGCCTTTATTCACCCCTCAGATCCGTGTAAGGCACTTTTTATTATGGATGGATGCGCTTTATTTCACTTCTTTTGGACTGATGAACTGCAACACCCGCTGACTGCCATTAAACAGCTTGGAAGATCAAAGATAATTTTTTTATATAACTCTGACTAGATTCATCTGAAAGAAGAAAGTCATATACACCTAGGATGGCTTGAAGGTGAGTAATTCATGGGCTAATTTTCATTTTTGGGTGAACTAACCCTTTAACTTTTTTTTTCAGTTAGTTGCCAGGGCAAATTTCTTTTATAAGTTTTATTTTTAAATTTTTTAAGTATCTAATATTTTATTTTTATCGTCAAATTATTATTATTATTTTTTTTTGTTACTAATTTTAGTACTTCAAAACCTATTTTATTTCAATTAGTTGCCAGGGAATTTATTTTTTTACATCTAATATTTAATTTTAATCTTTATTATTTTTATTAAAGTTTTAGTTTTAGTCATTTTAGTATTTTAACTTAATTTTTTTTTTTAAGTTTTTAAGTTTTCTATTTTAGTTCAAGTTTTAGATGTTTTGTCATCTAATATTAATACTATACTAATAATACTAATTTTATATATATATATATATATATATATATATATATAATACTAATAGTCACGTAACGCTGCCGGAAGGAATGATGGAGTGGTAGAATAGCATAAACTGTATTTAATTAAGAGAATCACAGGGGTAAATCCACAACAGGAAGAGGGGTAAACACATGTAATCCAACATGTAGACCCCAACGCAAAGGCTGGGACTTAAACACATGGGGTAATTAGAACTAAACAAGACACACCTGAAATCCACGAACAATCAACACGAGGGACAAACTGGGTCATGGAGCACATGTGGAGGGAAAACACAACAAAGACAGTCCAGGGGTGTGACACTAATAATGCTATAATATGTTATTATTGTGTTTTATAATTTTTCTTCAGTATAATTTTATTTCAGTTTTAGTTTTACAAATTTTAGTACTTACATTTAAACTCATTTTAAACTTTCACAACTTGCCTAGGCAAAGTTTAAATTTCATGTTTTTCATCTAATATGCTTTTCATTATTTTGTGTCATTTATTTTATAAATGCATTAAGAGCTTTTTTCCAGTTGTATTCCTAGAAGTGTTTTGTTTTATTTTATAAAAAAAAAAAAACAAGTTTAAAAGTTTTAGTAATACTTTTAATTTTTGTTAACAATAAAAACACTGGTGTACAATTCACAAAACTCCCAAATTGCCACACTGTAACACTATAATGTTTTGCAGGAATATACACGCTGCCTGTGGAAGGTGAGTGCTTCAGTGAAGTGCTTTATGTCGAGCTGCAGAAAGAAGAAGCTATCAAACTTCTTGAACAGTACAAGGAGGAGAGCAAAAATTCCCTTCCTCCTGAGAAGAAGCCCAACCAGGGAGGGGTTCAACCAAAGAGGGGAGGCACTCGGGGACGAGGAGGCAAAAATCTGTTCAACCGTGGTGGAGGAGGACAGGGTCAGAGGGGAGGACGAGGAGGCTTTCAAAACCGAGCCAACTTTAGGGGTGGTACGCTATTTCAGATGAGCGAAATGTTTCTTTTTATTCCTTATATACTTATTTGTATAGAGGAACATGTATAAATTCAGTAATACACTGTTCCTTTTTTAATTGTTTGTCAGTGCCTGGACCTCGTGGTGGGTTCAGCAGACCACCGAGAGGCTTCCTTCCTCCCCCTGCCTTCCGAGGAGGCTTCAACCGGGGTAGTTTCAATCGCGGCGGTGGGATGCCTAACAGAGGTGGCGCCCCCAGGCCGGGACCTGGACGTGGCAATATGGTTAACATGGGCAACAGAGTAGGAGCCATGAACAGGGGCAACATGGGACGAGGGGGAGGGGCCAACCGGGGCAACTTCAACCAGGTGAGAGATCTGTGATGATGTAGACTAGTTTTAGTTGGAAATTAAAATTTAGTTGACGTTGTAAATCTTCAAATATAAAAAAACAATACTGAAATGTGACCCAAATGTGAACCAGGAATCATACGTATGCTTTTTCCACAGAAGTTCAAGGGTTTAGGAGGAAATTATCAAGGTTTTAAAAATATGATTTTTTTTCAAGCTGTATACTTAGAAATGAACTTAAAAAAATTATGCTTTTCATTATTTTCGGTTTAGCATATTATGTTTTGTAGTTTATTTTATAAGCGCATTAAGAGCTTTTTTTAAGCTGTATACTTAGAAATGTTTTTATTTTCTTTTAAAAACGTGGCTTACTGCTTAATTCAGTTTAAAACTAAAAATACATCCAAAATGTGAACCAGGAATCATAAATCTGCATTTTCCTCAGAAATTCAGGGGTTTAGGAGGAAATAATCAATCAAGGTTTTAAAAATGATGTTTTTCATTATTTTGGGTTTAGGATATAATTTTTTTGTAGTTTATTTCATAAGTGCATTAAGAGCTTTTTTTTTTTTTTTTGAAGCTCTATGCTTAGAAATCGTTTTATTTTATTATTTTAAAATGCTGCTTACTGCTTAAGTCAGTTTAAAACTAAAATGCAACCAAATTTTGAACCAGGAATCATAAAACATTCTGTTTCCGCAGAAATTCAGGGGTCGAGGAGGAAATAATCGAGGTTTTAAAAATGGCAACTTTAGCATGAACAAAGCACAAGCTTTCAACCAGAGCTGGCAACAAGGGGTAAGTCCCTCAAAAAAATATTTAATATAATTTATATAATAATGTATAGATATAATTGATTTATATATGATTTCTATGATTTTTTAAAATGTAAAATTTGCAAAAACTACTCAAATTCAATCATGTTTCATTTTTTAATTCTCTGTATCTTTGTCTTCATTAGTTCTGGAATCAGAAACCATGGAGTCAGCAGTACCATCCTGGATATTACTGAATAATAGCTGTGATGGACTGATATCACATGAAGAACATCAGCTTTAACTTCAGAAGTCAAATGTTCATTTTATCTAATGTCCTTTTGTTTTTGTACAGATTTGAATAGGACATTCCATATTGGGAGCTTTCAGAGCTTTACAGGTGACCTGTTAACAGTTTTATAAATGAATATTTTATGTTTGTCTTTGACCGCAGGTTCGTATGACAATGCGGTTCAATTCAGGAATCTCATATTACTTCAGGGTGGGATGTTTGTCTTTAAAACCTTTCAGGGTTCTGGATTTTATTTTTAATTAGCCTCGTGTGAATCTTTGTGTAGCAGTAAAGCTCCATAACAAAAGAGTTGTCAAGGCACTTTGCAGTTATATGAAGAAAATCTGTCCTGCTGCAATAATATTTTTATTTAAAAGAACATGATACATGTATAAACTGAGATACTGAAATGTGGAGTAAGTCTTGTATATAAGGTCTGGACAGCTTTTGCAGACTGTATTAAGAAAATGAATTGAAACTGGAAATTTCAATGACAGTTGTGTAATAATTGTGTGTGTTGTTTAAAATCTCTTCCTTGGATTAGAATTGAACTGAATTTAGAAAGTGTTGATTTAAAAGCAGTCCATCGCCTGTACAAAAATGAAGTAGGTGCTAAACAGTCTGTTTATGCACACCCCTTCAAGTAAAGTGTAAGCGCCTAGCTATTAAATTTTACCAATCGGATGATTACTTGTCCTTCTGTTCTTCAGTGACTGAAATATGCACCTATCTTGTTTTGCTTTTTTTGGATTGTTAAGATGTCCTCTATGCTTATGATGCAATGACAAATGTGTTTTACCTATGGTTGGCTAAAGAAATGTCAGATATTCGGAAAACATATTATTTTACTACTTTAAAAGTATTACAGTCTGATCTTAATTGAAGCTTGTTTTGATGTTGTATTTATTCATGATTTAAGGTATTTGAAATGATAACACTTTGTAATGTAGACCTTTTTTCTTTTTATATCTCGCAATGTTTTGTATTTCACCTTCAATCGAATAAGAAAAAGATTTACTTAAAAAGAGTAACTTATTCCATGCATTCTCTTGGAAATAGGTTGTTTTAAAATGATAATAAAGTTTGACGATAACAACTGGCTTACCGGTCTATCTATCTATCTATCTATCTATCTATCTATCTATCTATCTATCTATCTATCTATCTATCTATCTATCTATCTATCTATCTATCTATCTATCTATCTATCTCTAGGACTAAGCACAATTCCAGAAACTATCCTATAGGCATATCCATGCAGAAATATAACACTCAAGCCCGTCTGTTTATGTATAGCTCTGCCTCTGCCACACGAATAAGATGTAGTTACACTGAAACCAGATACATTCATGCCAGGCTGTTTGCTGAGTCAAGCACAACCCTTTTGAGGAGCAATATCATATTTCATGCCTGTTTGTAAAATTTGTAACAACATTACAGAATCCTTCAGTGTCCTGTTACATCTTTAAATACTTATGTATATACGTAGTGGTCTGTAATCAATTAGATGTTGGACTTTTATTTTGAAACACAACGATCGGAAATGACTCGCTTCTTACAAGAGCCACTGGGAAAAAAAGGTGACATTGGGCGGAAATTACACAAAAGTTCTACCTCCAGGGGCGCAAGCCGGCTCAAACAACCCAAGCCCAACCCCAGTCTACGTGGTACTTTAATAGCAGTCTGAATAGTAATTATTAATGCAATACCTAAAGGACAAATACACATAGTTTAATTAAGTAACAACTGAGTAAATATAAAGAGAGAGAGAGAGAGCGCGCGAGCTTAGCTGTGCTTAGAGTGATACACTCACGCCATTCTATCCTCTTATATTTCTGTGGCAGAAAAAAACATCCGCCCCCTGATTCATCAGCTCTTACTCGCTCAGGAAGAAAGAGAGGAGGCAGGCGTGTGTTCATACATCTGCAATGGCCATTGAGCTGCACTCTGGTGTCAAATATGGCTCGTTTTTGTCACTTGCAGTGGTGTTGGTGGCGTATTGGTTCCGCTCACCGGACAGTTCGGTTCTGGAGGACAGACTGGACGCGGTTCTGTCTTCACTGCTGCGCGCAGAGCGGAAAGTGGGCATGAGCAGCGTGTACAGACCGCGAGTGGCTATAGGTACAGACTTTGAAGTGCACTTAACAGCATGCAACTAATAATTATGGAATGCAGTGCATAGGCTTAATTGGAATGAATTCTAATAACGTTACTTTGTATTTATTTTTTTTAGATAAATATTTATTAGTGAACTTTAATAATAAAATATTAACTAATTTATGTAATAATACAGAAATACCTTTAAATGTTAGATTTGCATCTTTTGGTTTAAGTATGCATTGCATATGCATTATTAAAATGAGACAAATTTATGTAATAAAGTTGCATTTTGAAATGAACAGTTATACACATTTAATGTAGTAATGTAATATGTATTGATTTTTATTTGTTTTGTTGTGACTGCAATTGTGTTGATTTCTTTTTAAGTTCCTATTAATTATTTAAAAGTACACTGATAATGATTCATTTTAACCAGGGTTATTATAGTACACTAAAAACGTAAAAAAAAAAACTTTATTTACTTGAAATAAGCTAAACGTTTGCTGAAATAAAATAAAATAATTGAAACTTATTCAATTTCATCTAGTTGCCAAGGAAATGTTTCTAATTTGTATTTATTTTCACTTAATGTAAATAAAAAAAATACAGTTAATTGAAACTATATATACATATAAACCAAATTAAAATGACATAAAAACAAAATAAAACTACTAACATTTCAAGTCAAATTAAAATAAAAACAGAAAATACAAAAAGAATAAAAACGTAATTGTAGTATTAATTAAAAACTATAATAGTATCCTAATTGTACTAAAATAACACTGATTTTTAAATTTTTTTATTTTACAAGTAACAGCTAATTTATTATATTCAGTTTGCCACATTTTTCTTGATGTTTCCTATCTGCAACTGCGCATGTATTTTATCTGATAATATGGCTTGTTTTGCTTCTGAGGATTGTTATCTTAAAGCAGGGTTCCTCAAATCTTACCCTGAAGGGCCAATGCGCTGCAGAGTTTAGCTCCAACCCTGATCAAACTCAGCTACCTGTGATTTTCTAATGATCCTGAAGACATTGATTTGCATGCTCAGGTGTGTTTGATTAGGGTTAGAGCTAAACTCTGCAGGAAAGTGGATCTCGTGGGCCAGATTTGAGGATCCCTGTCTTATAGGATCAAGCCTGAGCTGATGTTCTTTTTTTGTTGGTTTACGCTATAGCAACAAGTGCTGAGTACTTGTGAGGTAAACCAACTTTGACAACCAGGTTTCGGCCTTGTTTACCAAAAGTCCGGTAACCTGAGTCACATACACAGCCCATTGCAATACTATTATTTTACTTGTTGCTTACATTACAGTCAATGCAAGCGAAAGTTCTGACTTTTCTAGACCCTTGATTGAAATGATAATCAAACAGTTGAAGTTCTGTATGCATTGACTCAGTTAAGTTAACCTGATCTCTGATTTCATCTGTTTTCAAACCGTGATTGGTAGGCTACCTGTCAGTCTGTTGCACTCTGACAAACAACAGCTTTAGTCTGTAGTCATGTTTGCTTTTGCCAACTATGCATGGCATCGAATCCAGTTTGTTCAGATATTGTATGACCTATGATTCACTTGCGTTTTGTTGGCTGGTCAGGTTCAAAGATTAATTTATTGTAATATTAGATTATTTCACTTGTATTATCTCACTGTCTCTTATCAGGTTTTGGCGGCTGTGTGGATATCATAGTCGATGGAGTGACTCTGCTGAACAAAATGGGTTTGAAGCCGACAGACCAGCCCCTCCATCATGATTACATAGAGAACGCGGAGCAGCTGGCACAGAGTTTCGCTTACTTTTTCTCCCCCGGAGCTGCTTCAGAGTAAGTGAGAGCCGTTCAAGCATGCTCGCTAAGCCTTCGGGATTGTACAGATTACACAATTTAGCATAATACAGCTATTGTGATTTATTTAATTTGAAGCCAATTAAATTGTTTTACAAGTTTACATAGCTTAACTGATTGCAAACTTCCGTTTTGTGTTAGTTAATAGTCAACAATTTGAATTAAAACTAATTAACTGGTTTCAAGGTGAATTTAGTGAGTTCCCCATAAGTTTACACTGGTAAGCACAGATGTAGGTCATTACGTTAACTATGAACCGCTAATGTCACGCAACCACAGAGTGTTACATTAATGAAATAATATTCAATATTGATCATTTCAAGGAATAGTTCATCCAAAAATAAAAATCTGCTGAAAATGTACTTGCACTAAGATGTAGATGAGTTTGTTTCTTCATCAGAGCGGATTTGGAGAAATCTAGCATTACATCAGTTGCTCACTGATGTGAATGGGTGCCGTCAGAATGAGAGTCCAAACAGCTGATAAAAACATCACAATAATCCACAAGTAATCCATGAATAAACATCTTGAGAAGTGAAAAACTGTGTTTGTAGTGAAAAATCCATTATTGTGACGTTTTAAACTTTAAATTGTTGCTTAAATATCAGTCTTTTGCTTTTTCCAGTGAAAATTCATCTAGTCTGAATCAGGAGAGAAATACGCACTGTTTGCAAGCAAAAAGAGCCTAAAGCTATTTGTGAGAGGACAACAGATGGGATGGACTTTTCCACTGGAGGAAGCATTATTATGGATTATGGACTGGCATTTTGCCCAAAATTTAGTTTTAAGTTAAAACGCCTTAATTATAGATTTGTTTCTTACAAACATGCAGTTTTTCACTTCATAAGATGTCAATTGATGGACTGGAGTAATGTGGATTATCGTGATGTTTTTATCAGCTGTTTGGACTCTCATTCTGACGGCACCCATTCACTGCAGAGGATCCAGTGGTGAGCAAGTGATGTAATGCTACATTTCTCCAAATCTGTTCTGATGAAGAAACAAACTCCTCTATATCTTGGATGCAGGGTGCACAAATGTTCAGTAACTTTCATGTTTGGGTGAACTGTTCCTTTAAATTGTTAAGCTGAAATTCGTCAGACCCTCTTTAGTTTTGTTGTGCTGGCAATATGGCAGCTGCGTCCTGCAAGAGAATTCACACTTGAGAGCGGAATGACAGACTTCTCAAGATAATATTGCAGTTATGTTGAGACGCTGCATAGTGCTGTTTGAGCCGTGTCTGAGTGGAGTGTAATTTACAGTCACTACTGCCAAAGTGACACAGAAGCGTTTGGAGATGCGAGTGCTTCTGGTTGACGCATGTTTGGATTGATGAGTGAATTTCTCCTTTAGATAATAACCATCATTCATAGTGGTGTTTTTTCTTTTCATTCTTTTCGAGCCTTTTAAGCTTGGCGATTCTGTGAAAGCTTTTGTACGAAAATATGTTCAAGTTGCAGTTGTCACGACACTGCTAGTAAAACAGTGTTACTTTTAACAATGACAGTCCAACCATTAACAAATGTTTAATTTCTAATTAAAATCGCACTTCTCATTTGTTAAAAATTGACCTTATTTGCTTTATACATATTCCTGGTCTTAATGTGAATGATTTATGGGTTATGTTGTTACAAAAATCAGTCAATCTAGAACAAATATTTAATAAACTGACTGTTGCTGATTTTTGAGTCTCTACACAAATGTATGTTCTTATGATTTTTAGTTTGTTAGGCAACTATTCATTACATTGTGAAACAAAGTTTTATAAAAGTGTTGTTTAGCACTTGTTTTAATGTTTCTTAATATGAAACACTGAATACGAAAATCACGTTACTTTTTGAATGAACGAATGATGAAACATTTAAAGGTATTATTACTAATGCAAAAAAAATCGCATGGTACATGCATAATACTGAGCTAAAAACAACAGTTTAATGTAAACAGTTACTATAAGTGAGTGTTAACAGCTCTCCAATCATCAGGCACCTGCAGTGTTTGTTATACAGCTGACAGTGTTTTTCTTCTTTTCTATAGGAGGTTTGTGATGAACGACACACTCTTCAGTGATCTGGTAGAAGCTTCTCGAGAGTTACCAGGAAACAGGTGGTCAATAGGAGGAAATGCACCTGTCATGGCCAGCAGGATGGCGCTGGAAGGATGTGATGTGCTTTTAGGGGGCAGTTTCAGCATCGATTTCACAGATATCCTCTCCCAGCGTATCATTGCTTCTGAGGATTGTTATCTTAAAGCAGGGTTCCTCAAATCTTACCCTGAAGGGCCAATGCGCTGCAGAGTTTAGCTCCAACCCTGATCAAACTCAGCTACCTGTGATTTTCTAATGATCCTGAAGACATTGATTTGCATGCTCAGGTGTGTTTGATTAGGGTTAGAGCTAAACTCTGCAGGAAAGTGGATCTCGTGGGCCAGATTTGAGGATCCCTGTCTTATAGGATCAAGCCTGAGCTGATGTTCTTTTTTTGTTGGTTTACGCTATAGCAACAAGTGCTGAGTACTTGTGAGGTAAACCAACTTTGACAACCAGGTTTCGGCCTTGTTTACCAAAAGTCCGGTAACCTGAGTCACATACACAGCCCATTGCAATACTATTATTTTACTTGTTGCTTACATTACAGTCAATGCAAGCGAAAGTTCTGACTTTTCTAGACCCTTGATTGAAATGATAATCAAACAGTTGAAGTTCTGTATGCATTGACTCAGTTAAGTTAACCTGATCTCTGATTTCATCTGTTTTCAAACCGTGATTGGTAGGCTACCTGTCAGTCTGTTGCACTCTGACAAACAACAGCTTTAGTCTGTAGTCATGTTTGCTTTTGCCAACTATGCATGGCATCGAATCCAGTTTGTTCAGATATTGTATGACCTATGATTCACTTGCGTTTTGTTGGCTGGTCAGGTTCAAAGATTAATTTATTGTAATATTAGATTATTTCACTTGTATTATCTCACTGTCTCTTATCAGGTTTTGGCGGCTGTGTGGATATCATAGTCGATGGAGTGACTCTGCTGAACAAAATGGGTTTGAAGCCGACAGACCAGCCCCTCCATCATGATTACATAGAGAACGCGGAGCAGCTGGCACAGAGTTTCGCTTACTTTTTCTCCCCCGGAGCTGCTTCAGAGTAAGTGAGAGCCGTTCAAGCATGCTCGCTAAGCCTTCGGGATTGTACAGATTACACAATTTAGCATAATACAGCTATTGTGATTTATTTAATTTGAAGCCAATTAAATTGTTTTACAAGTTTACATAGCTTAACTGATTGCAAACTTCCGTTTTGTGTTAGTTAATAGTCAACAATTTGAATTAAAACTAATTAACTGGTTTCAAGGTGAATTTAGTGAGTTCCCCATAAGTTTACACTGGTAAGCACAGATGTAGGTCATTACGTTAACTATGAACCGCTAATGTCACGCAACCACAGAGTGTTACATTAATGAAATAATATTCAATATTGATCATTTCAAGGAATAGTTCATCCAAAAATAAAAATCTGCTGAAAATGTACTTGCACTAAGATGTAGATGAGTTTGTTTCTTCATCAGAGCGGATTTGGAGAAATCTAGCATTACATCAGTTGCTCACTGATGTGAATGGGTGCCGTCAGAATGAGAGTCCAAACAGCTGATAAAAACATCACAATAATCCACAAGTAATCCATGAATAAACATCTTGAGAAGTGAAAAACTGTGTTTGTAGTGAAAAATCCATTATTGTGACGTTTTAAACTTTAAATTGTTGCTTAAATATCAGTCTTTTGCTTTTTCCAGTGAAAATTCATCTAGTCTGAATCAGGAGAGAAATACGCACTGTTTGCAAGCAAAAAGAGCCTAAAGCTATTTGTGAGAGGACAACAGATGGGATGGACTTTTCCACTGGAGGAAGCATTATTATGGATTATGGACTGGCATTTTGCCCAAAATTTAGTTTTAAGTTAAAACGCCTTAATTATAGATTTGTTTCTTACAAACATGCAGTTTTTCACTTCATAAGATGTCAATTGATGGACTGGAGTAATGTGGATTATCGTGATGTTTTTATCAGCTGTTTGGACTCTCATTCTGACGGCACCCATTCACTGCAGAGGATCCAGTGGTGAGCAAGTGATGTAATGCTACATTTCTCCAAATCTGTTCTGATGAAGAAACAAACTCCTCTATATCTTGGATGCAGGGTGCACAAATGTTCAGTAACTTTCATGTTTGGGTGAACTGTTCCTTTAAATTGTTAAGCTGAAATTCGTCAGACCCTCTTTAGTTTTGTTGTGCTGGCAATATGGCAGCTGCGTCCTGCAAGAGAATTCACACTTGAGAGCGGAATGACAGACTTCTCAAGATAATATTGCAGTTATGTTGAGACGCTGCATAGTGCTGTTTGAGCCGTGTCTGAGTGGAGTGTAATTTACAGTCACTACTGCCAAAGTGACACAGAAGCGTTTGGAGACGCGAGTGCTTCTGGTTGACGCATGTTTGGATTGATGAGTGAATTTCTCCTTTAGATAATAACCATCATTCATAGTGGTGTTTTTTCTTTTCATTCTTTTCGAGCCTTTTAAGCTTGGCGATTCTGTGAAAGCTTTTGTACGAAAATATGTTCAAGTTGCAGTTGTCACGACACTGCTAGTAAAACAGTGTTACTTTTAACAATGACAGTCCAACCATTAACAAATGTTTAATTTCTAATTAAAATCGCACTTCTCATTTGTTAAAAATTGACCTTATTTGCTTTATACATATTCCTGGTCTTAATGTGAATGATTTATGGGTTATGTTGTTACAAAAATCAGTCAATCTAGAACAAATATTTAATAAACTGACTGTTGCTGATTTTTGAGTCTCTACACAAATGTATGTTCTTATGATTTTTAGTTTGTTAGGCAACTATTCATTACATTGTGAAACAAAGTTTTATAAAAGTGTTGTTTAGCACTTGTTTTAATGTTTCTTAATATGAAACACTGAATACGAAAATCACGTTACTTTTTGAATGAACGAATGATGAAACATTTAAAGGTATTATTACTAATGCAAAAAAAATCGCATGGTACATGCATAATACTGAGCTAAAAACAACAGTTTAACGTAAACAGTTACTATAAGTGAGTGTTAACAGCTCTCCAATCATCAGGCACCTGCAGTGTTTGTTATACAGCTGACAGTGTTTTTCTTTTCTATAGGAGGTTTGTGATGAACGACACACTCTTCAGTGATCTGGTAGAAGCTTCTCGAGAGTTACCAGGAAACAGGTGGTCAATAGGAGGAAATGCACCTGTCATGGCCAGCAGGATGGCGCTGGAAGGATGTGATGTGCTTTTAGGGGGCAGTTTCAGCATCGATTTCACAGATATCCTCTCCCAGCGTATCACAGGTGCTGTAATGCTCTTACTTTCAGCACTATGCTAAAAGCCTTTTCTATTCAACGTTGTAAATATAACAAGAACACTTTAAAATCTTAACTTCCATATTTATCATCGCATTGAATTATTTCATCTTCCTCAGTGGCTGGAAACACAGTGGATGAGCCAGACATCCACCTGATCCTGGAGTATCCCACAGGTGCCACATGGGGGCCGTACACCTCCCGAAGGGCCAACAGGTAGGCTGATTTACTTTCAGATTTTTCATCTTAACTGTACTTTCAATCTAAACTTTCTGTGAGCGTTTGAAATTTGTTTTTTTTCTTGCATTGCTGTAGGTATATTGTCCATAGCGATGACCATAATCCATATCTGGACTCTATGGAGCAATTTCAGGAGAAGCTGAACAGCTTCAAACCAGATCTGCTTGTTGTAGGAGGACTACAGATGATGGACAACTTCCCTTTCAAACAAAGTAAGTGAATGAAGACACACAAGGGCAATAATTCAATTAATAACATTAACAAACCTTATTGCATAATGCTCAACAAATCAGTATTTAATTGACTTTCAAATAACAATATGAATTTTGTAACAATATGTATTTTCATTATTATATACGTCAGCCCATGTGTGGATCAGTGGCAGTTTGGAGGTAAACTGAACTCTGTACTGTCACATGGTGAGATTAGCATGTTTTCCCAGCTGCCCTGGGAAAGTAGACTGACTGTAACAACTCGTAGCACTCAGTGATTTTGTTTGCTTTGCTTTGCTTTTCTGTCTGCCCTAGAGGGAAATTAGTTTTACTAATATTTGCTGTAAATTTTAAGTGCTATTGAGACCTAAAGATGAAACTGCTTAAAGTGTTTAGCTAAATTTGTTTGCTTTGCTTTGCTTTTCTGTCTGCCCTAGAGGGAAATTAGTTTTACTAATATTTGCTGTAAATTTGTTTTAAGTGCTATTGAGACCTAAAGATGAAACTGCTTAAAGTGTTTAGCTAAATGAAGCTGTATATAAACAGTAATAAAACGAAGATTGTTGGAGTACATTTTATAAGAGAATACTATTTCAGTATTTCTACTTTAGAGTTTCATGTTTAATTTAATGTTTTGCATGTCATTTCTTTTTGTAATTAATTGAGAGATTTGCTTCGAAGTAAAGACTTCTCAGCGTGTAAAAATATTTTATTATGTTGTAAATTAAATGAAGATTATTTGAGTATACTTTACAAGAAAGTACTATTTCAGTCTTTTACTTCAAAATGTAGCAATCAAAAACTAGCGATTTCTGAGTGAACGTTGTTTTTATGCCATTTCTTTTCAGTGTACTTCACTCTTAATGTTCCATTAAGCATTTAACTATAGGGATGTAATGATTCACTCAACTCAAGATGCGATACGATTCACGATACTGATTTTCCGATACGATTTTCTCACAATTTTTTTTAACAAAATGAGATTTAAGGCAAATTATAAATGAAAAAGTGTCATTTTATTATTTCTCAAGACAAAGTGCTGCAAATTTAAATATGTCAAATAACAAAACTAAAGTGAAATGTTAAAACTTAAATATTACAAATAAAAGAAATCTGAGCTAAGGCTTTGTCTGTGCTCTTTCCATTTAAAATTCGAGGCAGTCACTGCATTTTAATCACAGTCCAAACACGCTCGCGTCATGATACTTAAACACGCGTTCACGACAGTATCATGAAGCGAGCGTGTTGCGGCGCCGGCGCTGACCCAGATCCGGCGTGATGACGTCATTACGCCGGATCTGGGTCAGCGCCACCACACGCTCGCGAGGTAGTTACCTTGCTGTCTATGGGAGGGTCAGAGAGCCCTCAGATTTCATCAAAAATATCTTAAATTGTGTTCCGAAGATGAACGAAGGTCTTACGGGTTTGGAACAACACGACGGTGAGTAATTAATGACAGAATTTTCATTTTGGGGTGAACTAACCCTTTAAAATCAGGGTTTTTGCTGTATTAATTAGGAGATTCTATAATAACTCTGTTTCCTCTAGGAGAGCGTGAGGCTCTGCTGGGAAAGCTGGCGAAGATGTTGTCCTCTGCGTCCCCGCAGACCGCTGTCCATTTCGAGATGGCCAGCTTCGTAGATGAGAGTCTGATGTCAGATCTCCTAGAGTTTGTTCTTCCTCACTCCGACTCGTTAGGCATGAACGAGCAAGAGCTGCCCAATCTCCTGAGCATTTTCCGTGGCAGCAACTTGACCGTGCTTTCCGACCCCAACCCACGCGTAGCTACAGTGCTGGACCAGATGCGAGAACTCTACCGCCTGGTAAACCAGCGCCACCGGGAGGCCGGGACGGGTCGGCCACTCACACGCCTTCACGTCCACACACTGGCTTTTCAGGCCATCATCGTCAAACGTGGCTCCAAGTGGAAGAACACCATGTCGGCCACAGCCAAAGCATCTCTGACCGCCAACCGGCACGTCTGTGGCTCGCCGGACATAGATCTCAGTAAAGCGCGGCTGATCATGGACGAATCGTTCTCCATTAGCAGGCAAGAAGGAAGTCAGAGAATTCCACTCCAGGAATCTCGACCCGTTTCCTGCTGGGATGAGGACGGCTATGAGGTTTGCGTGGCTCCTGTGCTGGTGTGCACTGAGGTATACCAGACTGCTGGAGGAGGAGACAACATCTCTGCCGCTGGGCTTGTACTGCAGATCTGAATAAGAGAGTCTTTTGTCTTTTTTTTTTTTTCTTTTTTTCTTTTTTTATTGCATTCTTTTTTTCGTTTTTTTTTTTTTTCCTTTTTTTGGTGGGGGGGGGGGGGGACACATTGAGACAGATCATGTGCAATACAAACATTGGGTCCAGCTAATATAAAGTTGGGTGAATCCCACAAAACCTGTCAACAACATATCCACATCTTTTTTCGCCCTTAAATCACAAGAAACAAATTGGAGATTTTGCTTTTATACATTTTTTTTAAATTGATAAGTTTATTATTTTTTAAATATTATTTTCTTCACAATTAAGCACATTTTAAAATCGAATTCTCATTTCTGCGTTGTCTTTGTGCTGATTTTTAAATTGCATTTAAAAATTAATTTTACTACAGTATTTTTTATTGTAATATAATAAAAAATACTGCATTATAGTAATGAGAATATAATGAAAATGCAATGTCGTGGATGCATTACATACATGAAAATGTGCCTAATTGTCATGAAAATAATGTGTCAATGCCACCATTTTATTTTTTCCTTATGCAAAATATAATTTTAGATTTTTGTGTAAAATATGATCTGGATACTTCATAATGAGATTCACAGAGTTATCCCACCTATAGGTAGTATGTTTTTGTTTTCAGTTAGTTTTTCTTGAATCCTATCCAGAACCTTTATGTCTTAAAATGTCTTCGTAATTATTCACTTCACGCACATTAATCCAACAGACGCCAGTAATCTTGAAATAATACACGGAAGAATCTTTGAGCACCCATAGCTCATTATATTATGACTGAAATCAATCAATGCAGATGCACAGAAGCCTACTATGTTGATGTCAAATGGAAATGCAGATAAATTTAGCATGACTGAAGTGTTATGGGGTCCATATTTTACCTAACATTGCTTTATCCTCATTGGTCGGATATTATTGCTTGCTTGTTTTATGCTCCGCCCACTGAAGTCACGTCTTTGTTCTCATTCCGTAGCAGCATCATATTCCACTTTAAGACAAGGGATTGAGCAGTTACACATTATCACAAACATGGAAACAATTCTTTCTTTGTCTTAGTTATGTCTTTAGCTTATTTTACAACACCTTGACTGAATTCAAACACATACACCTTTTAATTAAGGGAACATGGCTTGATTTTTAACTCTAGGGAAGTGGAATGTTTTAAGGATAGTATTTTTAGCTTGTGTGGGTGTATCTCATGAGAGAATGTGTCCCAGTCATATTTCACCCCAAAATTAAAAGATAGAAATAAATTATAGTAATCTCAACTGAAAATAATTGGAATTACAAATAAAATTCAAGTAAAAAAAACATAATGCTAAAAAAGGAGAGGTGTGTTATTTCTGTGCCATTAGCATTATAATAATGAAATATTATTTTATTTGATTGTTTATTTATTTTTAGTTTTTCATGTATTTTCATGTAATTTTTTTTGTTTTTATTTTATTCTTCTTCTTCTTTTTTCTTTTGACCTGGCCATGCTTTCATGAGATTCGCCTTAGTACTTCAGTTATGTTTGCGTTCGAATGAGGAACTATTCTTGGAATGGATGCAACAGGAAGCCAAAACCACTGATTTCCTTATGTGCAAAAACGTCCTGCATGTATGTATGTATTTTCAGGAGGACGATTTGAAGAACTTCAGCAACGGTGATTTTTACCTCTCAGAAATATCAAATCTGTTGTAATCATAGTTGTGGGTGTCTCTTTTAACAGATTCAGAAACATCTAAGAAAATCTGGGCCCTGACTTCCTTGCAGACACATCTTCCATTAGTCACCCTGAGTGCAAATTATTACCCACCTCCTAGTGCCTATAAAAATATACCCAGCTTAACTGATGTCCATCATGATTCTATTGTATACCTGCATTTATTTATGTGATGGGTACTTGTCTATGCTAGTGTAACCCGATATCGGACAGGAGATGGATGTTAAAGATGTCCCACCCTATGAGAGATATCTGAGTGAGTGCTTTGAGACGCTCGTCAGCTGATATATGAAATATGTCTCAGGGATTACAGTAGCCTGTATGTCTAAGATCCACAACACTTGAGTTCGAACCAATTTAGCTGTGACAGAGAGCAGCTGGTGTGATTCTGGATGAGATCTGAGCCTGTAGCATACTGACCAACTGAAGGTCCAGTCGATTTGAAGAGTCTTTTTTTAATAAGGGTTTATGCATGTATGAAGCAATTGTAGCATTGGAATGGTTTATTACAGGATGGTGGTAAGAGTATTGAATGTTGTGCTGCCTAAGCTGGAAATGAGTTGTTATGAAATGCCTTTATCTCCTTCCTTCTTTTGTCTTGGCCATGTGTGGTCTGTCAGCAACAGCTGTTCTGAAGGGAAAATACTCATTTTTGAATGACTTTGGATTTGTATGTAATAAAATATTACATTCCATTTATGGTACACCGTTGTGTATTTCTGATTATTTTTAGTTAGAATATTTAGGAAAAGTTGAGGTCAAATCAACACCTTTGGGTTGGTTCATGAATGTTTCTTACTGTTTAGGAAAATATTTAGAAATATTTAGAAATATAATTGGGGTCAAAAAGTCTCCCTGTGAAAATCTGAAAATCTTTTTCCTTTGAACCTGAAACGTTTTAAGGTTTTAGGATAGATAGATAGATTAAAATTAGTGCTGTCAAACGATTAATCGCGATTAATCGCATCCAAAATAAAAGTTTTGTTTACATAATGTGTTTCTACTGTGTATATTTATTATGCATATATAAATACACATGCATGTATTTAAGAAAAATATGTTACGTTTATATCTTTATATATGACAATTTATATGAATATAAATATATACACAAATGTAAATATTTTAAATATATATATTCTGTATGTGTGTCTTTTTATATACATAATAAATATACACAGTACACACATATATTACGTAAACAAAAACTTTTATTTTGGATGCGATTAATCGCGATTAATCGTTTGACAGCACTAATTCAAATATTAAAATCTATATGAATTGATCGTGTGTATGTGTAAAAAAAGATGCACAAAGTAGGCCTGTCTGAAATTACTAAATGTATGTACTTACATTAATATATATAAAAATGACTTTATTTTGTACACTGTTATTGTGTTGATTTAATACTTTTTTAATTACATAATTAAATAACGCTGTAGTTAAAATCGTCAAATGTAAAAATACTGTAAAGACGCGAACTTTTATTTTTTAGTATCCAACTTTTATTGTGAAAGACTGGACGCTTGCCGCTCAAAAGAATCTGATTGGTCGATATGGTGTCCAATCACAGAGCTCGTTGGTCGCAGGTGGCAGAGGGAGAACCGATGCGCTGTGGAGTCTGCCGCTGCTAATGCTGAGCACTTACTTACGATTATAGTTGTTCACATTCAATTACAATGAGCTCCATTGGGACCGGGGTGAGTGGATATAATAATACAAAATGTATCATAGTGTTTGAATGAGATCTGATCCAGAAAGAGCGATTAAATAAGCAATGCGTGTATATCTGTGTCATTCTGAAGCTAACTAGCTACTGCTAGTGTGCAGGGTCTGCATTAGGGTTTTTTTTTTTTTTTTCCCCTGTTCCAACCTAATTAAAGTTAATAAAGAGTTTTCATATATAAGTAGTGTAAGTTATGTTAATTTCCATGGGTTAATTGTGTATTTTTTGCACTACTTGGCCCCTGCTGAGTCACTGCTCGCTAACAATGAATGATAGCAGTTCAAATGAAAAGTCTTCGTGGAGGTAAAGTGAAAGTAAATGTGTTGTGCAGAAAGAAAGCTGCTTTGAGTTTATTCAGCCTCGTCATTGATGCCCAACTGTGTTTATTATTATTGCAAACTCTTTGAATGGTTTATTTTGATTAAATGAACAGAAGTAATAATTGTTGACAGTATTTCCCTTCTCCCTCTGCAGTATGATTTATCCGCCTCCACCTTCTCACCTGATGGAAGGGTATTTCAGGTCGAATATGCCACGAAGGCTGTAGAAAATAGCAGGTAATTAATTAAATACTACTACACATGATATAATTGAAGCCAGAAACATGTACATTTTGATGTGTTGCTCCGAGAAAGGCTTTATTTTAATAACACCAACAAATAACAATACATTTTTGAATGTGTTTCGTATTTGATGTCTGATGAAAGTACAAGTACGAATTAAAGGCACTATATGTAAGATTTATTTTATTAAAATATCCAAAAACCACTAGAACAGTGTTATATATTTTGCTGACTTGTGTACTTGCTAGGGCTGCACGATAAATCGAAATGGAATCGAGATCGCGATTCGACAGAAGCTGCGATTGTCATGCGTATCTTTCAGCGAAGCACGGTTCTGTGATCAGTAGTAAATCTCCATCCGAAGGCCAGAGGGTGCTCTCTCGCTGAACTGTTGTGAGTTTTAATAGACCAGTGACAACCGCACAGAGTAGCATTATAACAGAACTTTCAAATGTATCTAGTATGATAAAACAGCGCTGCTTTACCCCACATACGCACGATCGGAAGGAGCGGAAGCGGTCGACTGTGGCATAATAAAAGCTCCGCTGCTTTCGAGCCGTGTGTCACGCTCGTTCAGCGGCCTCGTTTCGCTTCGACGGCTTTCAATCTCACCTTGCTTCATTCTACTACGTTAATAAATCATTAGCTCATCCATGAACATGATTTCCCCTCGGATTGCATCGGCTGTAGGGATGAAGATGACAACACCCATGATTCCCCACTCAGTCACAGCGTCTTCAAACTACGCCTTTGTATATTTGTTTATTTTGAATACACGCCCTCTAGTGGCGAAAATTACATATTGTGCCCTAAAGTAGGGGTTCTCCGATCAGGACTTTTGAAACCGATCACAGGAAGCAGTGTCTGCCGATACGATTACCGATACCGATCTTTTTAAAGCCTTCTTTTTATCATGTAAAGTTATTTATAGTAAGACTCCAATTAGGAATTTTAGACATTTATTCAGGGCCTGAATTTCATTTTTGAAAACGAATTCCCTTCTTAGGTGACTCTTGTGAGAGGGGATTTTTTTTAATTTGAGGGGTGGAGGGGGGCATTTTTTTTACATTTTGTAAAGAAATATATATTTATCTCACCTAAATGTTTGATCATGCAGTGCATTTTTGTTTTTACAATTGTGCAGTTGTTGCTTACACGCAGCACAAGCCTGATTTTGTGAGCTGTATGTGAGGCGGCCTTTTACACCAGGTTCACACATACTCCGTTTGCAGTGTGTATGCAGTCCATGTGCGGTATGTAAGAGGTGCAGAAGCAGCAGGTGCTTACTGTGCTTTCAGGCAGGAATCTGCAACTGATCCGTGGCTGTTTACTACAAACACAACATTTATCCATTATTTTGATTTCAAATCCAAACATTGTTACTTAAAATGCTTTTTCAGCATTGTGATTCAGTACAGTAACTAATACAATCTTTCATAGACATGTTTAAATGCAATACATATAAGAAACACATTATTCAATGCTTTTTACTTTTGCATTTACTTCTAGATTTATATATTAAGTTGCTCAAACAAGTGGCAAAACATTTAAACTACTTTTCTTACGTTATCACAAACTTAACATTGACAGAAATAGTCAACTCTACTGCCTTGCCTTTTGCATTTAAATCTTTAATACAAGCAATCCTGCGGTTCATAAAGAACTTTGTTTTCCTACCTCCACGAGTGCCATCTATTATTGCCTTGTTTATCTAAAAGTGCCCTTTTCCTTTAAACCTAGCCAAAAAGCCATATGTGTTGACTGTGAAACACAGTAGACTTTAATAATATGCATTTCGGTCCGGAAACGATCTCTGCACTGCTGTAGACGCACCGCTCTTGGAACGCACTGCCGGACCGCAACCTTGTGCAGTGTGAACGTTTTAATCCGTTAACATGAGCGTGGAAAAAATACGCACCACATTCGCACTGCAAACGGAGTAATGTGAACCTGGCATTATGTGTGTGCGCTGCGAGTGTGCATGAGCGCACGGCCTCCAGGAGAGCACCCAAGTGGCAAAAATTAAAAAGAAATGCAATTTATAAACTTTAGTGACGATGCGACACTGCCTCGATTGTGCAAGTGACAATTCCTGTGTCATCTGTGCAGCTCGCTTATAGTGCAGACGCGATTTAATTTGAAGCCATTTGCAAATTTTGAGAGAAAGAGAGCATGCGTGGTGATTCACTCAGGCTGTTTGTGAAATTGTCTCACAGAAGGTTTTCAAATTAGCTACTTTCTAAGTTATTTAATGAAGAAATATGAACTGTACCTCACCTTCAGCATTATACTTATTTCACCCGCACCGGACAGAGACGATATCGGCCGATATTGGTCGGTAGCCGATTAATCGGAGCACCCCTAATATTAAGTTGTTAATAATTGTTTTTTGCCATTCATCAGCACAGCAATTGGCATCCGCTGCAAAGATGGAGTCGTGTTTGGTGTAGAGAAGTTGGTTCTGTCCAAGTTGTATGAGGAGGGCTCCAATAAACGCATCTTCAATATTGATCGGCATGTTGGAATGGTAAGAACATTGAGAATGCTGTTTAAACAAGTGCTCAAAACATGTCCAGTAATTTATCATCAGTAACTTATTTTTATCAAGTTCTGTAAAATATTTGAGGTTTCACTGACATTACTCTGATGGCAGTAAATTAGATTGCAGTGTCACATTATAGGTGCTAGGTTCCATTATTTTACTTTAAAATCAATTACATCCATGTGATTATTTAGATTTAGTGCAATGAAAAATAAACTTATTTTACTAAATTATAATAGTCAAAAAGCTTAATCACCCATCAAATTGTTCTCATACCTTTGTTTGTAATTGAATTGTTTGTTGACATTGAATTTTTTTTGTCTAACAAACTAAAAATATAACCTGCTATTAAGTTTGAGGTTGGTAATAAACTTTTCATATTTTCCAAACAGCATCTTGCAGACAGAGTGGCCATGTATGTCCATGCTTACACATTATACAGCGCTGTGAGGCCTTTTGGATGCAGGTAGGTCTTTTGTAAAGTTTCAGCAATGCATTTTCATTTGCATTTATAATTGCATAATGCAAGTTTCATTTCTTATAAGTTTGTATATGTTTTTAACTTTTTACTTAACCCTTCAGTTTCATCCTGGGATCTTATGATGAAGATGATGGTCCACAGCTCTACATGGTTGACCCTTCTGGGATTTCATACGTAAGAGCTCTCTTTACATAAACTAGTATCTCTGTTAATCAGCACTTTATTACTTACTATACACACTTTACTAAATGTATTTCTCATTATTTTGAAAATCTTTTGATTTAAAGGTTTCTGCTTAAATGACTGTAACTAGTTTTGTAGACAAATGTAAGTTTGAATGTATGAATTTCTTTACTATATATATATAAACTAAAATGTTACCTTTGTAGTGATGGAAAAGCAGCAAAAAAGTGTCCAGCATACATGTGAACTCCTTCCAATATTCAGTGACAATGTAGATTACACATTGTTTTTTATTGACCTGATCCTCCTGTACATGTATTTTCTTTATCATTAATATTTGTCTGTTTTTTAGGGTTACTGGGGCTGTGCTATTGGAAAAGCCAAGCAAGCTGCCAAGACAGAAATTGAGAAACTACAGGTAGGTGTTAATATATTATGTTCTATATTCATCGTTTTGTAAAGGCTTTCAGATCAGTACATACATATTATCTTAAACTACTCTTAGAAGGTTCTTTTATTCAGCAAGGATGAATAAAATAGACCAAAATTAACAGTAACAACATTTACAATGTTAGAAAATGCTGTTCTTTTGAATTTTCTATTCATCAAGAAATGAAAAAAAGGAAAATTAAAAAAAAACATTTTAACATTGATAATAAGAAATGTTTCTTGAGCAGCAAATCAGCATATTAGAATGATTTCTGAAGGATCGTGTGACTCTGAAGACTGGAGTAATGATGCTGAGAATTCAAGAGTAGAGTACATTTTAAAATATATTAAAATGCAAAGTTACCAACCCCAAACTTTTGAGAAGTAGTGTACATCCACAGGTGTTTAATGTATCTCCAGGGTTGCAGTACAGAAAAAGCCATTGCCTTTCATTTATGATCATACATTTGTTCTCATTCAGTCTAACAGATCTTTATCATTAACAGTACAGTTGTGGTGTTTAGTATAAGCATGTTTGGCAGTCTTTTTTGGAAAATGTTCAAACAAAAGTCAGCTACTTTCAGTACTGCAGGGACAATATCATTTAAAACTTGAAGTAACAGCATTGTCTTTTGTCATTTCAAAGCGACTACTACATTTCTTTAGTAGTGTTTTCATTTTAATGTCAACAGATTTAAAGTGGTTAAACTTGTAAATGTTAATCTTGTATTTCAGATGAAAGAAATGACCTGCAGAGAACTGGTGAAGGAAGTGGCAAAAATGTGAGTGTGATTTATTTATAACTTAGAATTGAGAAGACCTCAAAAACACGAGAGCAGCAGAGATTATTATTATTATTATTCCCACACCTTCTGACCAATCCATTTCTATGACCTTTTTGCATTAGATTCATAGTTCACTGCATTAGCACTTTTTAAAACCGTCTTATTTAGATTGCATTCAGAAAACAAAAACTATTTCTAACCAGTATATACATTAATAGTTTAGAGTGAGGCATACACTATACAGCGGGTAAAATAAATATTGATCACGTCACCATTTTTCTCAGTAAATATATTTTTATAGGTGCTGTTGACTTGAAAATTTCACTAGATGTTGGTAACAACCAAAGTAATCCATACATACAAAGAAAACAACACAAATAAGTTCAGAAATTAAGTTGTGTGTAATAAAATGGAATGACACAGGGAAAAAGTATTTTGTTGTACAAAAGCCTTTGTTGGTAATCACTAGGGCTGGGTATCGAGTTCGATAATTTTTAGGCACCGACCGAAATGCCTCGATACCATCGAGTATCGAAAAACGTCTTGTCGTTCGGTACCAAATTTCGATACCTAAGGGATTAATATCATCAGCGTCAGTGAGCCAATAAGCCTGCAGCACTAGCCGGTGCACCCTGCCAGATTATGCACCCCCTAATATTGGTAGGTTTAGGAGTAGGTGTGGGAGAGGGGTTAGGATTAGGGGTGGGGTTGGGATTAGGCAATCAGGTAGCGACTTCAACGAGGGGGTGCATAATCTGGCAGGGGTGCAGAATTCGGCACAACACCGGAATGTTTGACTAGAAGAGGTGCGGAGCAGATCGATCATCCGCGAGAGCGATTCGAAAGCGCACGGAGCAGTCTGCTCTCTTTAGCTCTCGTGGTACTGTAATACACCGATCGG